AGAGAGAGAGAGAGAGAGAGAGAGAGAGAGAGAGAGAGAGAGAGAGAGAGAACTCTGACCATTTTCTGAGACAAAAGTACCAATGCCTGGATACTAATAACATTGATACCTTTGCCTTACGATGTTTAGACCATGTTTATTCCATGAAGGACTGTCGTCGCGAATGTGCTTATCGCCATCTCTCTTCCTGTCACGAATGCTAAATTATTCGGTGATTTCACGGCTCTCTGATCCGATGGAATTATTAGACAATTATTGGACGATTACATATTCTCGCAATTAAAGTCTTCCATCAGACCGTATTTGAGAGTCTCGTAAAAAATCTCGCAAATATTGCATTCTGTTGCAATTCTATTAAAATCCATCTGCTAATTATAATTTGATATTAAGCGCAAGTTTTTTATAAATTTCCGTAGACGATAAAAAATAAAGTGTCGAAAATAGAAAGGTCATGCCCTCGTCGTCCTCATCTGCTGATCGCACAAAGTGAAGATATTTTCTTTAACGTTCCGCGCGACAAAAACAGCCGCAGATGCAGCGCCTTGCAATTTGCAATTGCTGAATTACCCCGTAACCACAGTCTAAATGTATTTTTACCTTGCGCTAAAAATATTTTCACCTACGTTCGCTCAGAGGATGACACGCGAGGTTAAATAAACCGCGAGGTTAAAACACGATTGCTTTTCGTCTATTGACTGCACGATATAACGCAAACGCGGCAGAATGACGTTTTCTCCTGCACGCAGGGCTGGAGAATTTGGACTTGCGGGAAAATCCAATTGCTCAATTGCCTCGTGTAAGCACGAACTAAATATATTTTCACCTACGTTGGCTCAGAGGATGACATGCGAAGTGAAATAAATCGGAGGTTGACACGACGTCGTCCATCTTCTCCGTCCATCGACTGCACGATATGATACGAGCGCGTTCTCTACGCGGCGGAATGACGTTCTCCGCATGCGGGGGAGGAGAATTTCGACTTGCAGAAAAACGCAATATAAATAGGGGGCACGTTACATCGCAGAATATGCGTGTGTGTGTGTGTGTGTGTGTGTGAAAGAGAGACAGATGCGCGAGTACATTAAGGTCAGATATCACGGCGAGTTCTCGAGACTTTCTCACCGATGCTGAACCGTTAATCAAAGGAGGATCCCGTCATCGATCGAGAGCCGAACAAGCGGTGGTGTGACGCCACCGAAGGAGGAGGAGAAAGAGGACGATCATTAAACACGCAGATAGTGTGTGTGCCTTCTGCTATTCATGTTGATCCCTAATGCCGTTATTTGTTTAATAAAATTGTTATCTTATCGTCGTTTAGACGACTGACGTTCGCCAACGGGTAGTGTTACTTCGGTACCTCTTCAAGGCTAAAGAATGAATGAATAACGCTCAGAGCTTAAACGCGATTCTTACTATGTTCACTTCGTTCGTTCACTGCGCGATTCATTTAACCCGTAACAGGTACCATGCCTTTTTAGTCAAGTTATAGGTACAATGAGGTCCGGCGGATCCCAATAAATTTTTGCCATTTTTAATGTGATAATAAAAGATAGAAAGAAAAACGCTTTATAGTTCGAAAATAATATTTTACGAATATTATACAACTAGACATATATAATAACAGTCTCAGTTTTTCAATAATCTAAAAGAAAACGTTAACTGATTATAAAATAAACACAATGTGGACAGTGTTGAAATAAAACACACTGAGACAAATAATCGGGAAAAGAAAAAAAATTATGTTTTTTAATCTAAGTCTACAAATTATAGATTATATAACAAACATAAACAAGTATTGTTAAATTAAATACAATATTAAAGTCTTAGAAGATTTTTAGATGCAATCGTTACAGACAGTGCTTGCACATTTGGTGCATATTGGTTCATTTAACATATACTTTTTTAGACTTCATATCTTTACTTCTAGGACATTTATTACATCTTACTCTGGATGGCAAAATAATTTTAGATCTTTCAGTTTCTCCAATTTTTAAAATAGATGAAATTATTAAACGCAATGGCTTATGAATATATTGAGTTGTAAGACGTCTCTTAAGTTCAGGTTCTACTAACTGAAAGGCAAGAGCTTTACTCTTTTGCGTGAAGAATGAGTATATAGAGTAAATATGAGTCATATTG